TATTGTGTGGAACTCTTTGAGGAGTATTGGAATTAGCTCTTCTTTGTTTATTTTCTTCTTTTTTTTAAATTTAAGTTAGAAACAAGTTTGTTTCACATGTCAATCCCAGCTCCCTCCCCTCCTCCCCATCCGTAACCACCAGGATCCCCGGGCCCCCACCCAATCTCCACTATGATCCCCAGGGAGGGTGAGGCCCTCCATGGTGGATCTCTGGAGTCTGTAATGTCATGCAGGGTAGGGTCTAGTCCCTCCTTCAAGAGTCCAGGATGAGAGAGCACCCCTCATTGTGTAATGGGCACTCAAAGTCTATTTGTACACCAGGGATAAATACTACCCAAGACCCCATAGATTACCTAGGCCTCCTTACTGATACCTACATTCAGGGGGTCTGGGTCAATCCCATGATTTCCACACAGCCATCAATCTGGGGTCCAAGAGCTCCCCCTGTTCAGGTCAACTGTTTCTGTGGGTTAAACCAGCCCAGTCTTGACTCCTTTTCCCATCAGTTCTGCCTTTCTGACACTGGATTCCTGGAGTTCAGTTCAGTGTTTATCTGTGGGTATTGGGCTCTGCTTATATCAGGTGCTGGATGAAGGTTCTGTTTCCCAGATATTTCTGGTAGAATTCTGCTCTGAAGCCATCTGGGCCTGGGCTTTTTTCAGTTAGGAGACTTTTGATGACTGCTTCTATTTCATTAGGGGTTATAGGTCTGTTTAGCTTGCTTATCTGTTCTTGATTAAATTTTGGCAAGTGATATCTATCCAGAAAATTGTCCATTTCCTTTAAATTTTCAAATTTTGTGGAGTACAGGTTTTCAAAGTATGGCCTGATCATTCTCTAGGTTTTCTTAGTGTCCATTGTTATGTCCTTCTTTTCATTTCTGATTTTGTGAATTAGCATGCTTTCTCTCTGCCATTTGGCTATTTTAGATAAAGGTTTGTCTATCTCGTTGATTTTTTTCAAAGAACCAACTCTTTGTTTCATTGATTCTTTGTAATGTTTTCCTGGTTTCTACTTTACTGATTTCAGCCCTCAATTTGATTATTTCCTGGCATCTACTCCTCCTGGGTGAGTTTGCTTCTTTTTGCTCTGGTGCTTTCAGGTGTTCTGTTAATTCTCTAGTGTGACTATTCTCCAGTTTCTTCATGTGGGCGCTTAGTGCTATGAACTTTCCTCTCAGCAATGCTTTCAAACTGTCCCATAAGTTTGTGTCTTCATTCTCATTGAATTCCAGATAGTCTTTAACTTCTTTTTCTATTTCTTCCTTGACCCAGGAATGGTGTAATTGCCCATTGTTAAATTTCCACGAGTTTGTAGGGTTTCTGTGATTTGTGTTGTTGTTGAATTCTAACTTTAAAGTTTGGTGGTCTGATAAGCTACAAGGGGTTATTCCAATTTTTTTATATCTGTGGAGGTCGATTTTAGAGATGGTTCCATGTGGAGCTGAGAAGAAGGTATAGTCTTTTATGTTTGGATGGAATGTTCTATAGCTGTCTGTCATAACTTCTGTTAGTTCTTTGTTTCTTTGTTAAGTTTCTGTTTGGAGGTCCTATCCATTGGGGAGAATGGAGTGTTGAAGTCTCCTATTACTAGTGTGCGAGATTTTATGTGTGATTTGAGCTTTAGTAATGTTTCTTTTATGAATGTGCGTGCCTTTGTATTTGGGTCATAGATGTTCAGAATCAAGACTTCATCTTGGTGGACTTTTCCTGTGATGAATATGAAATGTCCTCTTTTATCTCTTTTGATTGATTTTAGTTTGAAGTCTAATTTGTTATATATTAGAATTGCTACACCAGCTTGTTTCTTGGATCCGTTTGATTGGAAAATCTTTTCCCAACCCTTTACTCTGATATAATGTCTGTCTTTGATGTTGAGATGTGTTTCTTGCATGCAGCAAAAGAATAGGTTCTGTTCTCCTATCCATTCTGTTAGCCTGTGTCTTTTTATAGGCAAGTTGAGACCGTTGACATTGAGGGATATTAATGACCATTGATTGTTGATTCTTGTTTGTTTTGGATGTATTGGTGGTAGTGTGTGGATTCCTCCCCCTTATTCTTTTGGTGTTTGGTAAAGTGGGTTTATCTATTGCCTATGTTTTTGTGAGTGCAGTTATCTTCATTGGTTTGCAGTTTTCCTTCCAGTACTTTCTGTGGATATGTATTGTTTAAATCTGGTTTTGTCATGGAATATCTTGTTTTCTCCATCTTTGGTAATTGAAAGCTTTGCTGGGTACTGTAGTCTGGGCTGACATCCTTGTTCCCTTTGCATTTGTAGGACATCGATCCAGGACCTTCTGTCTTTCATAGTTTCCATTAAGAAGTCAGGTGTAATTCGGATAGGTCTGCCTTTATATGTTACTTGGCCTTTTTCCTTAGCTGCTCTTAATACTTTCTCTTTATTCTGTATGTTTGATGTTTTGATTATTATGTGGCAAGGGGACTTCTTTTTCTGGTCTAGTCTATTTGGTGTTCTGTAAGATTCTTGTAGTTTCATAGGCATATCCTTCTTTAGGCTAGGGAAATTTTCTCTATGATTTTATTGAATATGTTTTCTGTACCTTTGAGCTGTATTTCTTCACCTTCTTCTATACCTATTATTCTCACATTTGGCCTCTTCACAGTGTCTCATATTTCCTATATATTTGTGTTAGGGATTTGTTGAACTTGAGATTTTCTTTGGTCTATGACTGTATATCCTCTAGTGTGTCTTTAACACCTGAGATTCCCTCTTCCATCTCTTGTATTCTATAGATTATACTTGTATCTGTAGTTCTTGATCGTTTACCCAGCTTTTCTATTTCCAGCATCTCCTCATTCTATATTTTCTTTATTGTTTCTATTTCAGTTTTCAAGTCTTGGACTGTTGGAGGTGTTTCCTGCATTTGTTTGTTTGTCTTTTCTTGGCTCTGTTTAGATTCTTTAAGAGATTTGTTTATTTCTTGAATTTTTGGTTTGTTTTGTCTTCTATTTCTTTAAGGGATTTTTTCATTTCCTCTTTGAGGGTCTCTATCATCTTCATAAAGTAATTTTTAAGGTCTGTCTCTTCTGCTTCATCTGTGTTGTGCTTTTCAGGTCTTGCTGGTGTGGAGTCTCTAGATTCTGGTGAAGTCATATTGGTCTTTCTGTTGTTGAGTGTGTTCTTATACTGTCATTTTCCCATCCCTTCTTTGAGTAGGTGCAGGAAGGGTCTCTCTGTATCCACTGGCCTCCCTGAAGCTGAGGCCTAGCCTGCAGGTCTGAGGCTGGGGGTGGTTGTGAGGAGTGCCGAGGTCTTTCCTGCCTGGATGGGTCCACTGTATGCAGGGTGCAGTCCCAGGGAGAATGAGGGAGGGGATAATGGGTGGGTTTGGGTCCCCAGGAGGACTCAAGCTCACCTGAGGCTGGGCACATGTGTCTGAGGCCAGGTGAGGGTCTGGGGAGAGCCGAGGGTGGGATCCTGGCAGGACTCAGGTCTTTCCTGACTAGACAGGTCCACTGGATGCAGGGGGCAGGCTCAGGGAGAATGAGGGAGGGGATAATGGGCAGGATTTTGTTACTATAAACAATATTGCAATAAATGTTCATCAATACTTCTCAATGATGCCTTCATTTCTTGAGGCAATAATATCCAAGTAGGAAAACTGATTCAAAACACATGTGCATTTGTGTGTGCATTTTTTGCTAGACAAGCTATTGCTTATTTTTAAATATTCTTGTTCCCAAGTTGGCATTGTCACCCTCATATCACCACTCACCATATTTCTTTACCTGTGAACTTCAGGAGTACCCTTTGCCAGCTTAAGTTCAAATTGTCCCTTTGCAGGATTTCTGTAGAATCTTCTTTATTCTTTTACTCCAGGGTTTTTTTCTTTCTCTAAGTAGTACTTTCACTGTGTGCTCCAACAAATGCCTATGTTCTGTTGTTAATGGGAAATAAGCTACATTGGAAAAGCAAAAGCATAAATACTTCAAAGTAAACATTAGGAAACAGTACCAAAGTAACCTATGAAGTCTATCTCTTGAGAAAAATGTTTGTTAAATCATCATCCCAAGAACACAACACCTAAATCTTATTCACCTCATCTCTGATTACCTCCTGAAGGATACCATTAGAATATCTTCACTTCCATTTTTACTCCCCAGACCTGAACTTTATAACATAGTGTCAAAACACATGTTTCAGGAGACTTTCTACATATTTATCTTCTCCCTAAGAACTTACCTTTAATAAATATTCCAGTTTTCCAAAAATAAGAATCCCTATTTGCATTTGATTGTCTTACACTGGATTTAGTTTTTGTTGCTTTCTGTGTTCTTTTCATCCTCTATTTTGTCAGCTACATTCCAATCAGTTATCAAGATAAAAGTTGAGTAATTCTCAAACAGTGTCCATAGAGAAGACAAATGGCCCATCTATATTCAGAAGTTTGCTTGTTTAAGTGAAAGTGAACTTGTCCAGATATATGAGACTCTTGGTATGGTGAAGTTCTTGAGTTGCTGTCTTTATTGATTCCCTCAAGCTAGTAAAGTTGTTATCCCAGCATCTTTGAGCTCAGCATTATACAGACAAAGGGTGTACTCTTGTTCTGGTTTGGGTGTTTCCTAACATGCATATTCATGAATAATCAAAGACAACCTCCTATCTCAAGGTCTTTATTTTAAAATATCTGCAAATATTCTTCTCCCATACAAGGTAAATATCCCCATGACCTAGGCATTAGGAAACGAACATCTTCAGATTATCAATATTTTGTCTACCACACTTGTGTAAAGAAAAGATCCTCAGAGTTCATCTCTCCTACTGAGTAAGCAATAGTATTTAATTGAGTGATAGACAACAATGAAGAATGGACAGTGAACTTAGAACATTGTGCTGATAATTCTTATAGACTTTTGCTACTATGTTAAGAACTATTTCCTATTAGCTTTTGTAGTTCTTGACCCCAGATATAGCACATTCTATACTCCTCCACAGTCTCTGTGGCTGGAGCAACTGACCACGTGCTCTTCTTCTTGCAGAATCCAGTGAACCCGAAGACAAAAGTGCAGGGGCCTCAGAGGAGACACCCTCCCAGCCTTACCCTGCACCAGTGTACAGTCAGCCTGAAGAGCTAAAGGAACAGGTGGATGATACAAAGTCAACGAAACCTGAGGAGAATGAGGACTCAGACCCATTGCCTGACAACTGGGAAATGGCCTACACAGAAAAGGGTGAAGTCTACTTCATTGAGTGAGTTTCAGACATTTCCTTGAACATTGCCCCAAAGACCATAGCAAGATAGTAATGATATTACTAATGCAGATATGGTCAAAGAGAAGATGAAACTATTATTATTTTTGCTAACAACTCAAAATGAGATATTGTCTCCATAGAGAGAAGGATCCTAGGCAGCTACCCATAGCAAAGAGTGAATTTAAGCAACTATACTACAACACTCTTTTAACAATGGGATATTAAAGAGGCAAATCTCCATGAGTCATTATTCTCAGACTAAAAAGACTGTAAGGCAGTAGTTCTCAACCTTACTAATGCTGTGACCCTTTAATACAGTTCCTCATATTTTGGCTACATCATAACTGTGAATGTTTCAACTGTCATGAATCATAGTGTGGATATTTCTGGGAGAGGTTTTTCAGTGGGGCTACAGCCCATAGGTTGAGAACTGTTGCTTTTAAGGTATCCTTAAAAATGTTTGCCTGCCTCTTTCACAGACACATGATTCGGATGAGGTTTTATTTCCAGAAATGGCTACCATTATGTTCAGGACTTGGGTAAAATGCACTTGTGTCTGAGGTCAGGTATCAATGAGATAGTTGTGTAATGATCACACTTCCTTCTAGTAAACTCCATTGTGTGTGTTACTTGTTTTCATTAGTTTCTTTTGAGTGGTGGTATTGAGTAATGCAGAAAATATGGATGTCCTGTGATATTTTATTGAAAGAGACATCACTTACTTGAAAAGCCAAGAAAGCTGAAACCAAAGGTCCGCATGCTATTCTCCAGGTCAAAAGCAAACCCAAAGAGAAAGAGCCTCCTGCCCCAGCTCTATTTACCCTCCCCTACATTCAACATACCCGTGAACACACCAACATGGGAGTGGTCAGCGCTACAAATACGTAAAATCTCTCCCTATAATTGCCCTTTTAGTCTAAAGAAAGGATTTAGACTTTAAAAAAACTAAATTGTGTCAATATACAAAATGTCTCAAACATGTATAAAGTATATTTACATAGAAGGTGATAAACAAATTATAATCTACCTATATCCTATCCTAAGCATATCTATCCCATCTAAATCCTAAACTTATCTGAAAGAGATGCCCAAGTCTGAACACCTCCTTCCAATCCCAACCCTAAATAATTGAAAACTAACACTAACAGGTGTAAACTATCCTGCAATATCAACAGTATGGAAAGGGGGCATAGTATTCTCAAAATTGTTTCCTGCTGAAATGGGACAATGACTGCATGGGATCCTGTAAGAAGAAAATGTTAGTGTAACGAAAGTCTCATTTGCATTCAGTCTCTGTTGGCAGGAGATGCTTGATTGAAGTTCTTGACTGAAGTTCTAATGTTTATTGAAGCTCTTGTCTGAGGCTCTGGCCAGATTGTAGAAGGTGTACAATGCCGGCTCATTGGTCCAGAGTTGTGTAGAATGATGTAGTTCCAAACCGGTTTCAGGATGATACTTGTCAGGTCAGTCAATGATGTGGTGTCCCATTTTTTGTCCAAAGTTTTTGAAGATTCCTGATGGAAAATTACTTGTTCTCTGTGGAAAACTCAAGCATTAACATTAACAGAGGAATTTTTAACTTTCATATGTATGCATACCAGGATAGACAACAATAAGGAAGATGGTAAATGTGAGGGAAATTAGACTTTTAGAGAAAGAACCAAGTTTAAACAGGTGACAGTCCCTAGATTTTGTATTCTTATGTCTTACATCAATGGCTCCTTGATATAATACAGAAATTCTGAATTTTATTTTAATGACATGCTTGGACTTAGAGAAGGAGAGCCAATCCAACTCCAAAGCCAGCTTCTGTTTAAGTGAATTGGGACCAAAAGAGCATTAGGAAGTAAAGAGAAATAGATATTATAAGGATGAAATTAAGAGAATTAGACATTGATACCAAACATTAAATTCTTCTCTGTTTGATGGTTCTTTGAGTAGCCGTACTCTCTTCTTTAGGTATCCACACGTTCAGTATCTTCTCGCTGTTTTGTCTATGAAGACAAAAACAAAACACTTCCCTTTCCTTTTGTGAGATATCCTTACACATTGTAGAATATGACTTTGTGGATGAAATGTAATCTTTCCTTCTTCAGAGGTTTCTCCTGTTTGGATCGAATCTTGATCAATTTTGATGGAATCCAAAGCTCTTCTTCTTCTGCAGAAACAAAGGCAAAACTCCTTCCTCAATGTAACACATATCCTGGTTTCCAAACTGAAGTCATAACATCCTTGAAATACACTGGTTGGTTTAGTTCAGAAGTCCAGTGTCTTTCTGCAACTGTTTGTCCTTTCTCAACAGCATTAAGAAAGTTCAACATTAGTAAGCATTATGTAATCTGTGTTTGGGGGTCCTTGTTCCCCCTGACTATTTGTGAAGCATGTCCTTTAAGGTGCAGTTGTATCTCTCAACCACTGCTTGTCCTGTAGGATTGTAAGGTTACAAGTTTTATGTTATAATATTTAAAAACTGTTCCAATTTGCTGGAGACATATGCTGGAGCATTGTCAGTTTTTATTGTTTTAGGTATACCCATAACAGCCATCACCTCTAAGAGGTGTGTAATAACAGAATCCGTCTTTTCAGAGCTGAGGGAAGTAGACCATTGGAAGCCTGAGAACATGTCTATGGTATGGTGTACATATTTCAAACTTCCAGATTCTAGAAAGTGAAATACATCCATTTGCCAAATTTCATTTCTGCAAATACTTTTAGGATTACTGGCTGCTGGTAGTGGAGTTTAATTATAGAATGAACAGGTGATGCAGTTTCTTACTATTTCTTGGCTTGTTGCCAAATGATAGAAAAACCTTTCTTTAAGCCTTTGCTGTTAACATGTTGTTTCTTATAAAATTCTGAAGCTGCCAACATACTTCCTGTTAATAAACGATCAATCTCATCGTTACCTTGTGCTAGAGAACCTGGCAGACCAGTATGGGACCTGATGTTTCATATAAATATATATAAAATGAGTTCTATTTCTGATGCTTTCCTGTAATTGTAGAAACAATGAGGTTAATTCTGTATCATCAGGAACAAATTCTGCAGTCTCAATGTGTAAGACAACTCTCTCTGCATACTGAAAATCTGTAACTACATTGAGAGGTTCTGTAAAGTCTTTAAGTACAATGAGAATAGCATACAACTCTGCTTTTTGTACAGAGTTGTAAGGGTTTTGAACTACTTTACTTATATTTCCTGATTTATAACCTGCCTTACCTGACTTGTTTGCATCAGTGTAGAATGTAAGAACTCCAGAGATAGGCATTTTTCTTACAATACACAGAAGAATCAAAACTTTTTTTTGTTTTCTTTATGAATATGATTCTCCATGTTTTGGGATAATTGTTACTAATAGTTCCCAAAAGCTTACTGCAATCCCTATGCCAATATTCATTATCCTTACATAAAGAGGAAATTTCCTAATTTGTTAAAGTTACAATAATCTCTGTTGGGTCCTTTCCAAGTTGGTTGGTGAAGCTTTAACTTACCTTTTAATATCAAATCAAAGATCTTTTCTATATATGTCTTCAGTTTTTTAATTCTGTTTATGTGGCAGAAATACCCATTCTAGTATGATGTCTTTCCTCTGCATTAATATTCCAGAGGAGTATTCTCTAGATGGTAAAATAACCAGAATGCAGTCCAGTTTTGGATCCACTTTGTCCACATTTGCTTCTAATATTCTCTTTTCTACCAATTTTAATTCTTTTTCAGCCTTAGCTGATAATATTTGTGGACAGTTTAAGTCCTTATCTACTTTTAGGTCCATTTTCAGGTGTTTTAAATCATGCTCTTCTACTCCAATATTGTCTGTAGTTGAGAAATTTCTCCTAGTAGTTTTTGAAGATCATTAAGAATCTGGTAACAATCTCTCCTGATTTGTACTTTTTGTGGTCTAATTCTTCTATAGATCTATTTTAAAAACTAAATAGTTGATGGAATCTCCTCTTTGTATTTTTTCTGTGGCAATCTGTAATCCCTAAAGAGGTAAAATTTCCTTTACTGTCTCAAACATCTTTTCCAATGTTCCTTCCTTCAAATCAGCCAACAATATAGCATACATAAAATGGTAAATCATGGATCATGGAAATTGTTTGTGAATTATTTCTAAAGGTTTTCTCACAAAATACTGGCATAAAGTAGGACTATTTAACATTCCCTGTGGCAAAACCTTCCATTGAAATCTCCATACTGGTTGAGACTTGTTATAGGTAGGCACTGTGAAAGCAAATTTTTCCCTCTCTTTTCTGGTAAAAGTATAGTGAAGAAGCAATCTTTTAGATCTATTAATATAATTGGGCATCCTTTAGGTATTAGAGAAAGTAATGGAATCCCAGGCTGTAGAGAGTCCATAGACTGAATAACTTTATTGATGGCTCTCAGATCAGTAAGCATTGTCCATTTACCAGACTTCTTTTTGATAATAAAATAGGAGAATCCACACACTGGTGGATTCTTCAATATGTCCAGTATCTGTTCCTGAACCAGCTTTTCTAAAGCCTCTAGATTTTCAGAGGCCATAGGACATTGCCCTACCCAGACAGGTTTATCTGTAAGTCATCTTAAGGGTAGTGCTTTTGGTTCCTCTGTAGGGTATAGCACTATCATCCTGTAACTATACAGCCTGTATGTTCGGGTTCTGTTTACTGTAGTGCCTTACAATATTTTTTCTACCACTAAGACCTTCATTGGTCCAGTTAAAACATCTGGTATTATGATGTCTTTTTAAACTTCTGGAGATTGCTTCTCCAATCTAAGTTTACATTTCCTCATGGATAAGGCATTTGCATCTTGGTGCCTCTTTAGGCCTTTAGAAATTGCCTCTCCTACCCAAGTCCCTGTATCTTGATCATTATACCCAATATTAGCTGTATACCCAAGACCCATTTGTCAAATGGGGCTGATCTGATTTTTAATGACCAAAGTACCTGTTTGTGTTGTGGATTTGCATTCTCATAAGCTAGAGATTCTATAAGCAGTCACCTAGAATCTAA